TGTGCGTGTGTGTGTGTGTGTGTGAGAGAGAGAGAGTGTGTGTGTGAGAGTGTGTGTGTGTGTGTGTGCGTGAGAGAGAGAGTGTGTGTGTGTGTGTGTGTCTCACTCGTGATCCAGGACGCCCATAGAAGCTTGTCCTTCGAACTGCTGCTGCTGCAGGATGCTTTCGAAGTCCTCCATGCGTTGGTCTGAGTTCTCCATGTGTGCGGGCAGATGACAGTTCAAGAAACAGATCGAATGGCCGAACACATTCATGCGAGCGCTGACGCCTCCTTTATTTCCCTGCAGAGATCAGTTCATTTTTCTCATGAAGTCCTGATCACCTCAGAAATTCTAAACAGTTCTAAACTCTTTCTTGATTAGACTTTTTCCCCCTGAATAAGAGTGAAGACATAACATCAGCTCACTTTAATTATCGTTGACATGTCATGCCGTGTCTCAGACCAGGGGTTTTACCCTAAAACTAACACTAAAACCAAAAAAAATAAAAATAAAAATCATTACTTAAAATAATAAAATAAAATAAATTCAACTTGGTAACACTTTATTTAAAGCCCTTGCATTCATTATGCCTTGATCTCATGTATGATCTCATGAAACCACAGTTATAATACCATATATCTATTCATTGTTAGACCTTTAGAAAGTAAAACACATGACAAACCTTCAGATATTATCATGCATATTTTAACTTTGGTTACATTATTTATGAAAATATGTAATGCATTGCAACATACATTATGAATACCTTTATAATGCATTATACATAAAGGCTTCCCAGCAAAGTGTTACCAAAAACTTATTTCATACAAAAGTAAGATAAATTAAATAATCACTAATAAAAATAACACACACAAACAAAATTAATAAATCTTTAACTGAAATTAAAATGAAAACAGAAAATATTAACAAAAACTGCATTAGTATATAAATGATATAAATAACACTGGTCACAACCGTTACAATTGGACACGCACCCTTTTTTTTTTTTTACAATGATTTGTCGAGAAATATATGCAAAATGCTGTGGAATTGTATATGGTAAAAGATGTTAAATATTTAAAGTGCAACAGTGTTTTCGGTAACTGAAGGCATTGTCAAATTAGCCAAAATAATAATAAATACATACACAAGAGTTGGTGGATGTGCAGAATTTAGTGATGTCCATGCATTTAAATCAATGTAACAGATCTTTCCATTAAAATCTGCAGGCGAAACTCGACCCAGACGAAAACTAACACTAAAACCAAAAAAAATAAAAATAAAAATCATTACTTAAAATAATAAAATAAAATAAATTCAACTTGGTAACACTTTATTTAAAGCCCTTGCATTCATTATGCCTTGATCTCATGTATGATCTCATGAAACCACAGTTATAATACCATATATCTATTCATTGTTAGACCTTTAGAAAGTAAAACACATGACAAACCTTCAGATATTATCATGCATATTTTAACTTTGGTTACATTATTTATGAAAATATGTAATGCATTGAAACATACATTATGAATACCTTTATAATGCATTATACATAAAGGCTTCCCAGCAAAGTGTTACCAAAAACTTATTTCATACAAAAGTAAGATAAATTAAATAATCACTAATAAAAATAACACACACAAACAAAATTAATAAATCTTTAACTGAAATTAAAATGAAAACAGAAAATATTAACAAAAACTGCATTAGTATATAAATGATACTAAATAACACTGGTCACAACCGTTACAATTGGACACGCACCCTTTTTTTTTTTTTTACAATGATTTGTCGAGAAATATATGCAAAATGCTGTGGAATTGTATATGGTAAAAGATGTTAAATATTTAAAGTGCAACAGTGTTTTCGGTAACTGAAGGCATTGTCAAATTAGCCAAAATAATAATAAATGCATACACAAGAGTTGGTGGATGTGCAGAATTTAGTGATGTCCATGCATTTAAATCAATGTAACAGATCTTTCCATTAAAATCTGCAGGCGAAACTCGACCCAGACGAGCAGAACAGAAATGGTAACTAATTAATCAAAATATGAAACAGGTGTGCAGTAACCATGGCAATCAGTCATTAGAATCCAGACCGCTTATGAAACATGCGCTGCTGTGTTGAATTATGAGACAAACTGAGAGCATATCATCTGTGAAATACATCATCTTACCAACTACTTCAATTGCTGAAATACACAATCTTTATATTAACTGCCCGGTAGCAGAAAGGAAATAATCCACAAACACTTCTCCCAGGTTCACATGTTTCAAGTCATATTATACAGAGGTCCTAAAAAGAATTTGGACACTTTTAAAGAAACAAAAAAGAAACTTTTTACATGAATGACAGTAACCACAAGTATAGAGAATCACACTAACACAACCATAAGTGTTCATATATTTTAAACCATTATTTTAAACCATTTTTTTTGCTTGATGAGTGTGTTTGTGAAACTTCTTTGATATTTTGTTAGCGAATGCAACGCATTCCAACATTTTTATTTGCGTCTAATTTTGTGTCTTAATCAACAGGAAAGGTTTAATTCAATTCAATTATAAAATGTAACTATCACCTTAACATATAATGCATTTATAAAGGTATTCATAATAATGTACATTGCAATACATCTTCACTAATAACTGTAAGCAAAGTTAAACTGCATTATACTACGCAGATTCATTGTTACATTTGACATGTGTTTTAATGCATTATACTTTCTAAAGGTGCAGTAATGAATAATTATAATGTATTGTAACTGTGATTACAGTTATTTATGAGATCATACAATGCATTATAAGGTGCATTGCAATGCATCAAAATACTTTTGTAATACATTTTATACATTAAAAGGCTTCAGGTGAAGTGCTACCTATTATTATTTACTAGCTTTAAATATTCTGCCGTTTTCATCAAACCTTTCAAATTTGAGAGACTGCTTATAGAAGTTTATGCTCTATGAATTCAGATGAATGTGGCTTCTGTAGTTCAATCGTTGACTTTGTTTTCAAATTTGACATTGTAATTCTTGCTGTGAGGGCGGAGTTTATCATTATGACGGCATCATTTTATATTCATCAGGTGATCAGCGCGTTATTAATATTTCAGTAAAGCACTGCATGAGATATTTGACAGAACCTCGTTAACAGCTTCCTGTAACCTTTCATATCTGCACATGAGGATTCACTGGTAGACATATCTGCTGAGAAGGACTCTGATACAGAAACGTGGCAAATAACCGCACATTTACATCAGAAAGGGAAAGTATGAGATTGCACCTGGAGAAGCGGCCATGGAAAGGTCTAAGCACAGATAACGTACCCAGATCCCGCCGAGGCCGGTGCGAGTGCTCTGTGTTTGAATGCCTCTCAGGAACGGCAGGTGAAAGTACTTGGAGAAGACCAGCAGCAGCATTCCCTGCATCCTCTGAGATGTGGCCTTCAGACAGAGAGAAACACACACACACACACACACATGAGTCAAGTTAGAAGAAATAGACATATTTCCTGCATCCAGTTCATTTATTGGCTTGAAATGGAGCCGGGTTTATAAAAACACTCAACCTGAGAACCTATCGCTTGGTGCGGGCAGATGACAGTTCAAGAAACAGATCGAATGGCCGAACACATTCATGCGAGCGCTGACGCCTCCTTTATTTCCCTGCAGAGATCAGTTCATTTTTCTCATGAAGTCCTGATCACCTCAGAAATTCTAAACAGTTCTAAACTCTTTCTTGATTAGACTTTTTCCCCCTGAATAAGAGTGAAGACATAACATCAGCTCACTTTAATTATCGTTGACATGTCATGCCGTGTCTCAGACCAGGGGTTTTACCCTAAAACTAACACTAAAACCAAAAAAAATAAAAATAAAAATCATTACTTAAAATAATAAAATAAAATAAATTCAACTTGGTAACACTTTATTTAAAGCCCTTGCATTCATTATGCCTTGATCTCATGTATGATCTCATGAAACCACAGTTATAATACCATATATCTATTCATTGTTAGACCTTTAGAAAGTAAAACACATGACAAACCTTCAGATATTATCATGCATATTTTAACTTTGGTTACATTATTTATGAAAATATGTAATGCATTGCAACATACATTATGAATACCTTTATAATGCATTATACATAAAGGCTTCCCAGCAAAGTGTTACCAAAAACTTATTTCATACAAAAGTAAGATAAATTAAATAATCACTAATAAAAATAACACACACAAACAAAATTAATAAATCTTTAACTGAAATTAAAATGAAAACAGAAAATATTAACAAAAACTGCATTAGTATATAAATGATATAAATAACACTGGTCACAACCGTTACAATTGGACACGCACCCTTTTTTTTTTTTTACAATGATTTGTCGAGAAATATATGCAAAATGCTGTGGAATTGTATATGGTAAAAGATGTTAAATATTTAAAGTGCAACAGTGTTTTCGGTAACTGAAGGCATTGTCAAATTAGCCAAAATAATAATAAATGCATACACAAGAGTTGGTGGATGTGCAGAATTTAGTGATGTCCATGCATTTAAATCAATGTAACAGATCTTTCCATTAAAATCTGCAGGCGAAACTCGACCCAGACGAGCAGAACAGAAATGGTAACTAATTAATCAAAATATGAAACAGGTGTGCAGTAACCATGGCAATCAGTCATTAGAATCCAGACCGCTTATGAAACATGCGCTGCTGTGTTGAATTATGAGACAAACTGAGAGCATATCATCTGTGAAATACATCATCTTACCAACTACTTCAATTGCTGAAATACACAATCTTTATATTAACTGCCCGGTAGCAGAAAGGAAATAATCCACAAACACTTCTCCCAGGTTCACATGTTTCAAGTCATATTATACAGAGGTCCTAAAAAGAATTTGGACACTTTTAAAGAAACAAAAAAGAAACTTTTTACATGAATGACAGTAACCACAAGTATAGAGAATCACACTAACACAACCATAAGTGTTCATATATTTTAAACCATTATTTTAAACCATTTTTTTTGCTTGATGAGTGTGTTTGTGAAACTTCTTTGATATTTTGTTAGCGAATGCAACGCATTCCAACATTTTTATTTGCGTCTAATTTTGTGTCTTAATCAACAGGAAAGGTTTAATTCAATTCAATTATAAAATGTAACTATCACCTTAACATATAATGCATTTATAAAGGTATTCATAATAATGTACATTGCAATACATCTTCACTAATAACTGTAAGCAAAGTTAAACTGCATTATACTACGCAGATTCATTGTTACATTTGACATGTGTTTTAATGCATTATACTTTCTAAAGGTGCAGTAATGAATAATTATAATGTATTGTAACTGTGATTACAGTTATTTATGAGATCATACAATGCATTATAAGGTGCATTGCAATGCATCAAAATACTTTTGTAATACATTTTATACATTAAAAGGCTTCAGGTGAAGTGCTACCTATTATTATTTACTAGCTTTAAATATTCTGCCGTTTTCATCAAACCTTTCAAATTTGAGAGACTGCTTATAGAAGTTTATGCTCTATGAATTCAGATGAATGTGGCTTCTGTAGTTCAATCGTTGACTTTGTTTTCAAATTTGACATTGTAATTCTTGCTGTGAGGGCGGAGTTTATCATTATGACGGCATCATTTTATATTCATCAGGTGATCAGCGCGTTATTAATATTTCAGTAAAGCACTGCATGAGATATTTGACAGAACCTCGTTAACAGCTTCCTGTAACCTTTCATATCTGCACATGAGGATTCACTGGTAGACATATCTGCTGAGAAGGACTCTGATACAGAAACGTGGCAAATAACCGCACATTTACATCAGAAAGGGAAAGTATGAGATTGCACCTGGAGAAGCGGCCATGGAAAGGTCTAAGCACAGATAACGTACCCAGATCCCGCCGAGGCCGGTGCGAGTGCTCTGTGTTTGAATGCCTCTCAGGAACGGCAGGTGAAAGTACTTGGAGAAGACCAGCAGCAGCATTCCCTGCATCCTCTGAGATGTGGCCTTCAGACAGAGAGAAACACACACACACACACACACACACACACATGAGTCAAGTTAGAAGAAATTGACATATTTCCTGCATCCAGTTCATTTATTGGCTTGAAATGGAGCCGGGTTTATAAAAACACTCAACCTGAGAACCTATCGCTTGCTCTTTTTTTTTTATTCAAATAAACCAGAAATAAAGTATAAATATTAGAATATTAGAAACTTTAAAAAAAAATTTAAAGTTGTAAATGTTGCCTTTCAACATAAAAAAAAAAGAATCACTGAGTGGGAAAAAGGATCACCCCCTTGTGGGAGTATTTTGTTGAACCACCTTTTGCTTTAATTACAGCCTTTAGTCTGTTGGGATTTGTCTCTACTAACTTTGCACAACTAGACTTCTTATTCTTTTCTATACCCACTGTATATCCGAATACTAAATACTGCATGCAACAATAAAGATGTGTAGTATGCCACATTGTTTTTATATGGGATTATTTTTCCACAAAGAAAATAAAGCTGGATAAAATAAGGTAGGAGTCTCGAAACATGAGCTGCACGACAGAGACAAAGACCAGCAAAGAGATTTTCATCCTCAGCCACTCAGTCACTATTACATAATGTGACCCCTGAAGCTGTGTGTGTGTGTGTGTGTGTGTGTGTGTGTGTGTGTGCGTGTTTAAAGGGAACATTACTGACCAGTACATATCCAAAGGGGCTGAGAGCGTCCATGCAGACCTCGCTCCACTGGTCAGTGAAAAGAACATCTTTCAGTCGTTTGTTGATCATAGAGTTCACTTCCTGTAAGCTGAGAGAGGGAGCAAGAAAATACAGACAGGAGATGAAGCTGAAATTAAAGGACAGAAAATATCAGAAGGATGAGGTAGAACAGAGCTCAAGGCAGGCGGTAGATTTGTCTGTATCTCTAGTGTGCTTATGTGGGTCATGTGCTAGATTATGACCTTCACTTTACAACATTATAACATACTAACCTCATCTCTTCTGATGAACACTTGCTCTACACAAAATGATGTGTATTATTGTCATGAATGAGATCTGAGATCCAACTGATGTCATTAATAGGACAGTCACATGATCTGATATGTTGCTGTTATTAAAATTAAAATATTGTGCTTTCCTTGTCTGTGCAGCTGCCGTTTCAATTCCGTTACATGAAGTATTCTCGACCACATACTCTGTAAGATTTTGTCTCTTTTTAAAGAAATTATTACTTTTATTCAGCAAGTATGCATTAAATTGCTCAAAATGACATTAAATTTCTATTTCACATAAATACAGTTTTTTATTATTATTTTACATTCATCATAGAATCTTGAAACAGAGCTGTAAAGCAGCATATTATACTGATTTCTGAAGATCATGTGACACTGAAGACTGGAGGAATGATGCTGAAAATTCAGTTTAGTAAATAAATTACATTTTACAATATATTAACATAACAAAACAGCTACTTTGAACTGAAATAATATTTCAAAATATTTTTTGATCCAATAAATGCAGCCTTAAAGAGCATATGAGACTTCTTTCAAAAACATCTTACAGACCCCAAACTTTCGAATGGAAGTGTAGTTCAATCATAAGTTTCTTCATTTGTATTTCATTAAAACAATATAATCAAACTCAATATTTCACTCTGTTTTGGGGGGAGAAAATCACAGCGATTCTTGGTATTTTAATCTGAAATACTAACATGTTGTGTGGTGCACTGAAAGTGTGTGGATTTTGATGTGAGAGACTTTTTCACTGGAGGATGTGTTATTATGGAATATAGACTCATATTTTGGCCAGAAGCAACGTTTTGAAGTTCTTTAAAAATCTTATTGTTTTGTTTTTGTTGTTGTTTTTTTACAAACACAGCATTTTTTCTTTTAAATTTACTTCACATGGCATTAACTGATGGACTGGAGTGGTGTGGATTATCGTGATGTTTTTATCAGCTGTTTGGACTCTCATTCTGACGGCACCCATTCACTGCAGAGCATCCATTACTGAGACACTGATGCAACGCTACATTTCTCCAAATCTGATGAAGAAACAAACTCATCTACATCTTGGATGGCCTGAGGGTGAGCACATTTTCACCACACTTTCATTTTTGGGTGAATTATTCCTTTCATCTCTTTATATTCTTAAATATCTCAAAAGGTTAATAAGTGTGCGAGAGAGTACATGTGCTTCAGATCTAATCTTGCCTTGATCTCTCACCTCACTAAGGCAAATCAAAATGATGTGTACTATTACTGAAAGAGTGACAGCAGATTATCATAATTAAGAAATTGACTACTTGCACTAAGCTTCATGACGAATTTCCATTTTTCCAATCGAGTGTCTGTGAGAAGATTTAAAGATCCACACCATATTCAGAGACAGGAGAAGAGATGTGCAAAAATAATTTCCAAGCTCAATGAAACATGAAGTTTTAATCCAACCCAAGCTGATCTGAGAAAGCAGGGTGCTGGTAAACATACACGATTATTTCAGCACAGATCAGCCTGCAGCACAAATCACAGGAGGCTGAAGGAGACTAGTAAAGGGTGTCAGCACTATAAACTACCACTCAGTGTGTGTGAGAGACCTGATTAACTCACTCATCCAACAGTAAGAAGATCAGAACGAACTTGACCCTTTATCTATCTGTATTAAAAATGATTAACTATTTTGCATGATGTTTAACATTGTTAATTATCTTTAATGCAGGTACAGAATTCATTCAACCATTTCACTGTGTTGCGTATGATTTTAAAAGTCTGAAATAAGAGAAGCAACACACACACACATACACAAGCAGGTCCTGTTTATAAGTTGATGGAGAAAAGCACTTCTCTTTGCGCCGTCTCAAATGTATTTAAATTTTGATTAAGCTCACTGGACTGCAGCAGGTTAGTGGAGAAAACAGTCTGGGGTCAGTTCTTTTTTATAGTATAGGAAATTAATACTTTTATTCAGCTCGGCTATATTAAATTGATCAAAAGTGACAATAAAGTTACAAAAGATTTCTAGTTCAAATAAATGTTGTTCTTTTGAACTTTCCATTCATCAAAGAATCCTGAAAAAATGTTATTTTTATGCACCTATGCAGCATTTTCAAAGTAATATTTTCACTCTTGGCCAGAAACGGCAATCGCCAGTTGAAACTGAAACCACAATACAGCACAATGTTAAAATCGTACCTGAAATCCTCCACCACCTGCGTCTGAGTGTCGGCGGTGCCAGCGACAGACAGGGCCCTCTGCGGGTGCAGGGTGGGATCAGTTAGTGGTGGTCTGTAAGACGGGGTCTGAGGAAGCGAGGCGGCCCTCATTGCAATGTGGCTCCGAGACACTGCAGCGTGTCCTGAAAGCTTCTGTCCAGCCAAACGTGGAGGTCCATGATCAACACTGAGTTCTGAGGGCTGATTGGAGCTGTTGGGCTCGGTCGCTTCAGCATGGCTGCTCAGCTGCTGCGCTTCAGGAGATTCTGGAGGTTTGGGCTCCGATACGTCAATAGATCCTTCCACTCGCGGGCTCCTCTGGGGCCGGCGTGGCCTGGCTGGAGCCGTCGGTGGTGTAGAAGGGGCAGGAGAAGATGTGGAGGATGGATCTGCTGGTCCTTTTGGTTGTGCAGATGATGCCAGATCATTAGTCTTGCACTGGCTTTGAATTTGCTGCTCTGGTTCCATCCTTATCTAGCAAAACGTAGCACACCAGTGGATCAATCAGCGTGTGCTTTTTGACCATGTTTACCTTGTTTAACTACACTTCTCCTCACAGTGTGGCATTTAAAAACAAAAGTGGCATGCCAAAATAAAGGCTGCTCATATAACGTGCATATACTATTCCCATTTATTTCCAAATGCAAAATCTGAACGGTTTGAATGAAATTATGTAAACAGCAGCACCTTGTTAAAAAGAGTAGAGAAATAATATGTAGTGTTTTCAGACACTTAATTGCATGCTAATTACAATGAAATGAAAATGCACTGTATTACAGTTTAAATTTATATAAAGTGCAGTTAGCTGAATTTTAGAGTGCAATGAAAGTACATATGTTATTTTGTAATTTTATTGTCTTTGAAATATGCTTATAGTGCACTTTAATCAGGGATGCACATAATACCAAACTAAAAAAATTTATTAAAAATAAAAGAAAATGAAAACGTAAATATTAGTATTGCATTTTAAGTGTACTATAAATAATTGTATTTTATTTAATACTTACTTTTTATTTTAAAATATAATAGTATTATCACACTTTATTTTTATTTTTTTTCCTAAATAAATAAATTGCAATAATGACAATAATATTACTATTATTTTGTTTGTTTGTTATATTGAATGGGTCACACTATGTGCAGTGTGAGCACCAAACCAAATCTCCAGCTGCTCTCGTGAGAACCAGGCTTAAAAACGTATGTGCATCCCCGACTTTAATGTAATTTCTATTGAAAAGTGTATTGTGTTTAAATATATTTGTAATTACACACGTTTGTAATGAAGTTGCAATTTAGTACATTTAAAATAAATTAACTTGAAATGTGCTTTAGTATGTTAGTCAACAGGTCAAAATAAGTGCACTTCATTAAAACATGACAAAAGATTATAAAAACATAATGACTTAGAAAAATGTACTTCAAAACATTTTATTTGACATTATGCACTTTTTAAAAGGTATGAAAGTGTCTCTCTTTAAGGACATTTAAATGGCCTTTTATTTCATAAAATTTAAATGGTCTGCAAGTACATTTATTTTATATTTGAAGTGCACATTTAATACAATTAAAGGCACTTCTTTTTCACAAGGGCCTGGCTGGGCAACATAAGAAGCTCAAATGAGCTACACATATCCTGGAAGTGATCAAGGTCAAAGAGTACGCCCCTGATCCCTTTTGATGGCCAGGAAAGTTCAATAGCAGTTACATTGGATCGCTTAGCGACATTATTTTAAAGGGTTAAATATCTGTAATCCTTTTGGTTTAGGTTTCTCAGTTAAAACAAGAACTGGAACAGGAAGCAAAGCAGTGTTGGTTGTAATAACACTGGGTTGCGTAATCTTAGAATTTTGCTTCTTCAACAGAAATACTGTGCACAATATTAGAATGAAGGTTTTTTTTGGTTTGAATGATTTTTCTTTTCAGCATTGCTGTGCCAAAAATAACACATCTTTAATTATTACAGTAAATATTCAGTATATGATTACACTAAAAACAGACAAAACACAAAGTTAATATTTGATCAGTTGGATGATTGCTGAATTGTTAAACATACTACTATAAGTTCTTCCAAGGTGATGGGTTTCATCTCTAGCTTGAGGGGAGTCTATTCTAGTTTGAAATGACTCTCTCTGAAATGACAGCTGACAGGCTGGACCGAAACACTAGACTAGACAACAGACACAGCTGTGAAAGTTCCCTACCCGCAGGAAACACTGCTCATAGTTCGGTCAGTCATTTCAAAACACGACCAAATGCTACTGTTTACTACAGTATATGCATACAGTAAACTCTAGTTATGTAAACAGGGAAAGTGACTGCTGTGTGCTAAACACAGTGAAAAACACCACTGTATGACTGTCAGCATGATCAAAACTTGTACTGAAAAATCCTGTTCAAATGCGAGTGTCAAATATGATCCATCAGGCTTTTGAGGAACATTTATTTGCTCTTTCAGTCATCACTGTATTGCATTGCATTGTATCATAAAGCTAAGCATTTAAATATCACCTTTGTAAGAGAAGAAATAGAGTGACAACTAATATATTGTATGCATTTTGTCTGTTATAAAGATCTCATTGATTTACATTACTATCAGAATTTCATCTTACTTCTTAGTCATATAAATATCCGCATCTGCACCAAATTGGATATTTAGCTCAGTTTGGGCCTCTGAAAGCCTGATGTATCACACATGACACAAAAGATAAAACATATGCAAACCTTTTTTTTTAAATAGTTTTTCTAAAGAATTCAGGAAAACTTGAAATCGCATCATATGACCCCTTTAATAAAATAAAATAAAATCGGACTATTATTTCATATGGCAGGCTTTACAGGGTTAAAATCACTAAAACCCTACACTATTACTCTCAACAATATCAGTTTGATTAGTCTGATCCTATAGGCATACTGAGGCCGTGTGACGATGGAAACAACACACTTAAGCCGACTAAATGCAAGAATATTGAGACAACACCCAGATTTTCAAATATTATGTTCGACATGCTCTTCACCTCGCTGTGCTCTGCTTTCCCTGCATTGATAAGACTGTTACAGTCAAACACACGTCTGGAGGTATTTGCTTATCAGTGTGGAATAATGCAAAACATGTCACCAGCAGGAAAGGAAAAGAGACAAAAATATAGACTCCACCTAGCAAAGACCCTGAATGCAATGAGTCATTGTGTATGTTTTTGAATATGCACACACACACACACACACACACATGAATGGATGCGTGCAAAATTCCAACAGTGAATCATTGTGTATGCATGAAGACAGATAGATAGATAGATAGATAGATAGATAGATAGATAGATAGATAGATAGATAGATAGATAGATAGATAGATAGATAGATAGACAGATAGATAGATAGATAGATAGATAGATGCTTATTAGTCATGCAGCCTTGAAAAATTAGACGTTAGTGGGAGTGGGTGCGATTCAATCACTTATAGCAATCGAGTGAACTGTACTTATTGTGTTGTACATGGTGAAGTATAATTCAAATCATTGCAAACTACACACGGTGCACTGTTGTTTTATCAGAGGTTGTATATAAATATTGCAATACTTTTGAATCATGGTTACACATCTGAGGTTAGAGACTGAGAAAATGCTGAAGGTGACCTTACAGTAATGTGCATTATGACCTGCTTCTGTGTCTGTGTGTGTTTCAATAGAGGACGGACGAAGAAGCTTTTGAATCATTCAATATTTGATAGTGCAAATGAAATTGCAAGGCTGTTTGCGCTGGCTGTTCAACCTCTGAATAATGCCACTGTTACACAAATGCAGATGCATTTCTCGCTTTCAAACGCACACTAACACACATTGATTCCACACTTTTATACTTTTATAAAAACATATTGATGAAGTTGCAAACACAAAATATAAGCCAGGCAAAAAACAACACGTAAACAATCCAGCATCAATTAAACACCACTGAAAGCAATGAGAAAGACACACAGCAGCACTTGGGTCCACAGCTGTAATAACAATAACATATGATTAAATTATGTACAATTTATCAATCATATCATATTTGTGCAATCACTCCACACGTTTGCACTGGTGCTTTATTACATATTACAGTTCTAAGCCATTATAGTGTGTGCATCAGTCTATTTCTTACCCAATTTCCTCTTTCAAGACAGACTGAAGAGAGCTGGTGGTGTGTAGACAGGAGATCGAATGTGCACCGCTGGAAACCAGACTTACTGACTAATATACTCGTGTTCAGACAGCTTCCAGACATCAAAAGAAGCGCATCATTATGCGACAATATTGTCCTGATAAATGTGAAAGCGCGAGATCCACTGTGTCACATCAGTGCCCGTTCTGTTCTTCCAGTGACATTAACGGAGAAGGACATTGAGGTTTAGCGAAAGGAGAAAATGGGTCGCTGGAGGCAAATGCATTTCATCTGCGGATGTTCTTCGATGTGAATTGGTTTGGCCAAGCAAAGCGCGGAGCGTGCTGACGCTTCATCCACTATTGCATTATCACCGCGGACGTAACGCGCTTGTCACATGGGCTTCCACTGAAGCTCCACTATAGATTTTTTTTTTTGCATTATTTATTTGCAGACAGATAGATAGATAGATAGATAGATAGATGCTTATTAGTCATGCAGCCTTGAAAAATTAGACGTTAGTGGGAGTGGGTGCGATTCAATCACTTATAGCAATCGAGTGAACTGTACTTATTGTGTTGTACATGGTGAAGTATAATTCAAATCATTGCAAACTACACACGGTGCACTGTTGTTTTATCAGAGGTTGTATATAAATATTGCAATACTTTTGAATCATGGTTACACATCTGAGGTTAGAGACTGAGAAAATGCTGAAGGTGACCTTACAGTAATGTGCATTATGACCTGCTTCTGTGTCTGTGTGTGTTTCAATAGAGGACGGACGAAGAAGCTTTTGAATCATTCAATATTTGATAGTGCAAATGAAATTGCAAGGCTGTTTGCGCTGGCTGTTCAACCTCTGAATAATGCCACTGTTACACAAATGCAGATGCATTTCTCGCTTTCAAACGCACACTAACACACATTGATTCCACACTTTTATACTTTTATAAAAACATATTGATGAAGTTGCAAACACAAAATATAAGCCAGGCAAAAAACAACACGTAAACAATCCAGCATCAATTAAACACCACTGAAAGCAATGAGAAAGACACACAGCAGCACTTGGGTCCACAGCTGTAATAACAATAACATATGATTAAATTATGTACAATTTATCAATCATATCATATTTGTGCAATCACTCCACACGTTTGCACTGGTGCTTTATTACATATTACAGTTCTAAGCCATTATAGTGTGTGCATCAGTCTATTTCTTACCCAATTTCCTCTTTCAAGACAGACTGAAGAGAGCTGGTGGTGTGTAGACAGGAGATCGAATGTGCACCGCTGGAAACCAGACTTACTGACTAATATACTCGTGTTCAGACAGCTTCCAGACATCAAAAGAAGCGCATCATTATGCGACAATATTGTCTTGATAAATGTGAAAGCGCGAGATCCACTGTGTCACATCAGTGCCCGTTCTGTTCTTCCAGTGACATTAACGGAGAAGGACATTGAGGTTTAGCGAAAGGAGAAAATGGGTCGCTGGAGGCAAATGCATTTCATCTGCGGATGTTCTTCGATGTGAATTGGTTTGGCCAAGCAAAGCGCGGAGCGTGCTGACGCTTCATCCACTATTGCATTATCACCGCGGACGTAACGCGCTTGTCACATGGGCTTCCCCTGAAGCTCCACTATAGATTTTTTTTTTTTTTGCATTATTTATTTGCAGCCAAAAGGTTAAATGCTGCATGGGAACGATTTGCCTTTGTCGTGACAATCAGCGCGCATCATTTGTTCTGTTCTCGACACCGTTATAGCAATGCACAGCTAAAGGGATAGTTCACCCCAAAATGAAAAGTAGCCCATGTTTTACTCACCCTCTTGACATCCTAGATGTATATGATTTTCTTCTTTCAGACGAATACAATCGGAGTTATATAAAAAAAATGCCCTGGCTCCTCCAAGCTTTATAATGGCAGTGAATGGGTGTTATTTTTCAATAGTCCAAAAGAAGTCCAATAAAGCGCATCCATCCATCATAAAAAGTGCTCCACATGGCTCCGGGGTGAATAAAAGCCTCCTGAAGTGAATCGATGTGTTTTTGTAAGAAAAATATCCATATTTAAAACTTTTTAAACCTAGCTTCTGTTAATTGTCGTAGGCGCGTTCATGAGAGAGTGGCATTCCAGCGGATGAGGTAGGACGTAGAGCGTAGTGTAAGCTCCGGTGAGAAAAGTGACGAACATGGAAGCGCAGTGGAGAGAGCAGAACAAAACACCGGTCACAAATTAGAAGTACGAAATTAGGAAAATGTCAGATTTCGATAAAAGCCAAGAGGAGACTTTGCTTCCTTTTCTCCTGTAAACAAAACTCGGTTCTCGTGAGACTAGCATATTCTACATTTGTGAGTTTTGTGGCTTTCAGTATGAATATGTCAGCTTTAAAGGGTTAGTTCACCCAAAAATAAAAATTAGGCTGTGTTTTACTCATCCCCGATGCATCCTAGGTGTATATGACTTTCTTCTTTCAGACGAATCCAGTCGGAGTTATATAAAAAATTGTCTTTGATCTTTCAAGCTTTATCGTTGCACTCAGCGGGTGTTGCATGCATCAGTCCAAAAGACGTTAAATAAAAAAGCACCCTTCCACAAAAAAAAGTGTCTCACACGGCTCGGGGGGTGAACAAAGGCCTCCTTTAGCGAATTGATGCGTTTTTGTAAGAAAAATATCCATATTCAAAACGTAATAATCACTTGAATCTAGCTTGCGGCAGCAGTTGTACACGGAAGCAGCTCCCGGCGGATGACGTATGAGATCAGCGCTGTGCATGCGCCGGTGCATCTCATGAAAACCAGCATTTGTTTACAGGAGCAAAAGAAGCAAAGTTTCCTTACTTTAGCAAAGGAAAACCAATCTCCTCTTGGCTTATATCGAAATCCTCCAACATTCTTCTTTACAAATCCTCGTTTTGTACTTCTAATTAGTGAACGTTGTTTTGTTTCGATCTCTCCGCGTGCGCCACTTCTGAGCGGCGATTCGCTACAGGAGGACTTTGTTTAGCCCCCGGAGCCGTGTGAGACACTTTTATTTGTGGAAGGGTGCTTTTTATTTCACGTCTTTTGGACAGAAGCACTGCAACACCTGCTGAGTGCAACGACAGAGCTTGAAAGATCAAAGACAATTTTTAATATAACTCCGACTGGATTCGTCTGAAAGAAAAAAGTCATGTACACCTAGGATGCATTGGGGGTGAGTAAAACAGCCTAATTTTTATTTTGGGGTGAACTAACCCTTTAAGCAAGCATTTCTGGTGTTCCTAACCAATGACTAAATTTGCACTTAGAAGATGCATTAAACATTTACAGTCTCGCTGTTGACAATACAGATTAGTTCTGATGACTTCATTCACTCCTTCAGCTTCTCAATCAAATGCTCTCTAGAATTTGAATCCTTTTCATCTAAATGTCTCAATCTTCCGGTGAAATGTCACATGGGCTTCCCCTGAAGCTCCACTATAGATTTTTTTTTTTTTTGCATTATTTATTTGCAGCCAAAAGGTTAAATGCTGCATGGGAACGATTTGCCTTTGTCGTGACAATCAGCGCGCATCATTTGTTCTGTTCTCGACACCGTTATAGCAATGCACAGCTAAAGGGATAGTTCACCCCAAAATGAAAAGTAGCCCATGTTTTACTCACCCTCTTGACATCCTAGATGTATATGATTTTCTTCTTTCAGACGAATACAATCGGAGTTATATAAAAAAAATGCCCTGGCTCCTCCAAGCTTTATAATGGCAGTGAATGGGTGTTATTTTTCAATAGTCCAAAAGAAGTCCAATAAAGCGCATCCATCCATCATAAAAAGTGCTCCACATGGCTCCGGGGTGAATAAAAGCCTCCTGAAGTGAATCGATGTGTTTTTGTAAGAAAAATATCCATATTTAAAACTTTTTAAACCTAGCTTCTGTTAATTGTCGTAGGCGCGTTCATGAGAGAGTGGCATTCCAGCGGATGAGGTAGGACGTAGAGCGTAGTGTAAGCTCCGGTGAGAAAAGTGACGAACATGGAAGCGCAGTGGAGAGAGCAGAACAAAACACCGGTCACAAATTAGAAGTACGAAATTAGGAAAATGTCAGATTTCGATAAAAGCCAAGAGGAGACTTTGCTTCCTTTTCTCCTGTAAACAAAACTCGGTTCTCGTGAGACTAGCATATTCTACATTTGTGAGTTTTGTGGCTTTCAGTATGAATATGTCAGCTTTAAAGGGTTAGTTCACCCAAAAATAAAAATTAGGCTGTGTTTTACTCATCCCCGATGCATCCTAGGTGTATATGACTTTCTTCTTTCAGACGAATCCAGTCGGAGTTATATAAAAAATTGTCTTTGATCTTTCAAGCTTTATCGTTGCACTCAGCGGGTGTTGCATGCATCAGTCCAAAAGACGTTAAATAAAAAAGCACCCTTCCACAAAAAAAAGTGTCTCACACGGCTCGGGGGGTGAACAAAGGCCTCCTTTAGCGAATTGATGCGTTTTTGTAAGAAAAATATCCATATTCAAAACGTAATAATCACTTGAATCTAGCTTGCGGCAGCAGTTGTACACGGAAGCAGCTCCCGGCGGATGACGTATGAGATCAGCGCTGCGCATGCGCCGGTGCATCTCATGAAAACCAGCATTTGTTTACAGGAGCAAAAGAAGCAAAGTTTCCTTACTTTAGCAAAGGAAAACCAGTCTCCTCTTGGCTTATATCGAAATCCTCCAACATTCTTCTTTACAAATCCTCGTTTTGTACTTCTAATTAGTGAACGTTGTTTTGTTTCGATCTCTCCGCGTGCGCCACTTCTGAGCGGCGATTCGCTACAGGAGGACTTTGTTTAGCCCCCGGAGCCGTGTGAGACACTTTTATTTGTGGAAGGGTGCTTTTTATTTCACGTCTTTTGGACAGAAGCACTGCAACACCTGCTGAGTACAACGACAGAGCTTGAAAGATCAAAGACAATTTTTAATATAACTCCGACTGGATTCGTCTGAAAGAAAAAAGTCATGTACACCTAGGATGCATTGGGGGTGAGTAAAACAGCCTAATTTTTATTTTGGGGTGAACTAACCCTTTAAGCAAGCATTTCTGGTGTTCCTAACCAATGACTAAATTTGCACTTAGAAGATGCATTAAACATTTACAGTCTCGCTGTTGACAATACAGATTAGTTCTGATGACTTCATTCACTCCTTCAGCTTCTCAATCAAATGCTCTCTAGAATTTGAATCCTTTTCATCTAAATGTCTCAATCTTCCGGTGAAATGACAGACTCCTCTCTGGTGATGCATGCCGGACTTCTAATCATTTAGTCTGCTTAAACCACACCCCTTTTTTTACAATCCACTATTCAGATGTGTCTCCATCCAATCAACAACTGATTGATAGAACCACCAAGTTTCTTTTTCGATAATCCACTGCTCAGATGTACATTACGATAAAAAAGATGTCTCTACTTCCATTTCATTGCAACTTTAAGGTGTTCTGAGTAGGTGTTGGCACAGTGTTATGCAGTCACGTTTATCCCCAGTTTTATTATCCACCAGGAAATATTTCAGTAATTATAGCCTACTATTGATGCAGAGGCTAATGATATTTAAATTCCTGTTTAGTTGCTGTTGAGCTGCATAATCCCCTTTCATTCTTTTATGAATGCACCTGTCAGGCCATCAGTTTTATACCAGCATTTTTGTTTGACCTTATAAGAAAACCACGGTATGTGATATATCACCCCAGCAGACCAATTTATGTCATGTGAATATACCAAGAATCATGTGTCGCATGTTAGCTATGTTTATTTGCATTGGGATTATCTGTATTTTGCCCTTGGATCTCTGGGGTTTTGCCAGCTTTAGCTAAAGAAATTATGACTGTAGTGTCCTTTGTACGATATATAGCTGCAGAAAGTAAGCCATTTGAATAAGATGAGATGTTTGTGCATTCGTGAGAGTGATTATGTAAGCTGAAACTGCCACTGGTTAGAGCGTCTTCTACAGTATTTCACACTCTGCTGGGTCGGCTTCTGCACAAACAGAGGCACTGCTAGTTCACTACACAATATTCATGCATTTAGGCTCTACACATTGTTTATACTTTCCACTCTTTATTTGTACATTTCTACACCTATTGCAAAGTTTCAAAATAGGGTTCTTCTTTTTAACATTTAAAATCAGTTATATCCAATAAAGTGTTTATTTGATATATTTGTCTGTATTCGTCTGCATAGATGACTGGTTTGTCACGCATATATAGCCCATGCAGTCTTAAAGTCACCATGGAATCAAAATTGACCATTTTTTAATGAAATGCTGCAGTGTTCCATTTCACTCTGATTTTTTCACAACAGGGAAGAAAAAGCTTAATTGACAAAGTCAGCATGAAATCAAATCTGACCTCATTTATTTTCTTAATGCATGTTGTTGTCACACTGTGAACAATTCATATGTGCATTAAATTATATAAAATAAAAAAAATCTAAATGTTAATTTATTTTCATGACTCACCTGACGTTTATGATGCACGTGCTGCCGTTGCATTCAGATCTATTACAATATGCAACATGCACTTTTACCAATCCAGTCAACGACTGATGGATTAAACCAAGCCATGCTGTTTTCTTGTTCAATGAGCCATTTCACTCAGAAATACATCACAACATGGTAGTAAAGTCTGTCACACCTTCCGTTTCATGCCGACTTTAAGACCTGGAAGATGTGAAATATTTCACAATTCTTTGTACAATACATTAAGAATTAATATGCTATAATGGCATCTGCAACTACAGCATGTTGAATGTATTAGTTTCAGTTAGTAGGATAAGATGTTCCATGGGATACAACGAAAGGAAGGCTGTTTCAAAGCCTCATTTGTAAGCATCCCTGTATTCAAGAGCTGTTCAGGCAGAGTGAACCCAAAATACTCGTTAATGACACAGCAGGTCAGTGTCAGGATAATAGACCCCAAGCCTATTTAACACACCACTATGTAGATGTTTGTCTAAAGAACCATAGAAGTCAAAACAAGTTATCTTGTAGCAACACACTTTGTTACAGTAGACACGCTAATTTTCATGTGATTTCATAAACATTTTGGGAGAGGTTCCATCTCAAATCACAAACTCCCATTCCTGCAACTGAAACCTCAGCAAGCTCAAAGGAATATTTCACCCAAAAATGAAAATGTTTTTACCCTCAGGCATCCAACATGTAGATGAGCTTGTTTCTTCATGAGAACAGATTCAGAGTAAAGTAATATTTCATCAATTGCTCAGCAATGGATGCTCTGCAGTGAATGGGTGCCGTCAGAATGAGAGTCCAAACAGCTGATAAAAACATCACAATAATCCACAGCACTCCAGTCCATCAGCTAACATCTGGAGAAGACAAAAGCTGCGTGTTTGTATAAGAAACAAATCCATTATTAACATGTTTTTTTTTGCAGCTAAAATATGAGTTCTCTATAAAATGTTGCCTTCTCCGGTGATAAATCTCGTGTGAATCAGGAAAGAAATCTGCACAGATCCAGCACTGTTTACAAGCAAAAACAGCTCTAAACAAATATGTGGCTGGATTTTGATGTGAGAGACAACAGGAGATGGACTTTTTCACTGGAGGAAGCTTTATTATGGCCAAAAGTTTAATGTTAAAGCATCTTAATGATGGATTTGTTTATTCCAAACACACAGCTTTTGTCTTCTCCAGATGTTAACTGATGGACTGGAGGGGTGTGGATTACTTGTGGATTATTGTGATGTTTTTATCAGCTGTTTGGACTCTCATTCTGACGGCACCCATTCACTCCATTGGTGAGCAAGTGTTGGAATGCTACATTTCTCCAAATCTGTTCAGATGAAAAAACAAACTCATCCTAATCTTGGATGGCCAGAGGTTGTGTAAAGTTCAGCAAATTTTCATTTTTGGGTGAATTATTCCTTTTAAACCTGGCTGCAAGGTTTGCAAACCAAACTGAATAACTTAAACATTCAACGGGTGAAAACACCGGCATGTTTTATAAAGTTTGTATATAATGTATGTTTTGTTTAATGCATTCAATCTTTTCTAAATGTTTGTGTGAAGCGTATGCATGTATGGGTAATTATTCAACATATCCTCCTGACTACCAGAAGAAGAAAAAAAGTTGAATTTAATATTGTTTCATGTCATTATATTGTTTAGAGCAGTGGTTCCCAACCCTGGTCATTCAACGGGTGAAAACACCGGCATGTTTTATAAAGTTTGTATATAATGTATGTTTTGTTTAATGCATTCAATCTTTTCTAAATGTTTGTGTGAAGCGTATGCATGTATGGGTAATTATTCAACATATCCTCCTGACTACCAGAAGAAGAAAAAAAGTTGAATTTAATATTGTTTCATGTCATTACATTGTTTAGAGCAGTGGTTCCCAACCCTGGTCCTGGAGGCTCCCCGACACTGCATGTTTTGCATGTCTCCTTAATCAAACACACCCGATTCAGATCATCAGCTCATTAGTAGAGACTCCAAGACCTGAAACCGGTGTGTCAGAGAAAGGAGACATGCAACATGTGCAGTGTTGGGGTGCCTCAAGGACCAGGGTTGGGAACCACTAGTTTAGAGCATAAGAAAAAAATTGTATTTATTTTTTTACAGCTGTTATGCTATGTCCTCTGTAGAGGACACCAGGACTTTAAAAAGTTCTGTTTTAAAAATAAAGACATGAATAGTCATGAAAAAGCAAAAACAATCAAAAAAATCCCCAATCCTTTTTTATTTTTTATGCCAAACTTTGTATAAAAAGGATTCTCAACTATGTTATGAAAGATATAACAGAATGATTTGATATACCTTTTTGCTTTATGCAACACGTGCGTAAAATGCCCATAAACGGGTTGTCCCATTATGTACAATGTATCTATGAACTGTATGTAATTTGCATATGAATTTATTTTTGGGGCAACATGTAATGAAAAAGAAGTGTAATAATGGGAGTAATAATTGGCAAGATTTTCATAATAATATCTAATATTTCATAGGAATATTGAAATATAATTTCTTTCCCTATAGTTGTGTCTCCCAAAATGTGTAATAAACATGCTTTTAGTCCTGGTATCCTCTACAGGGGACATGTATGAAATCAATGTCCTGTTTCATAACAGAAAGTCCTATTTTTGATTTGAAACCCCATAACATTTTCCCGAGATGTTGATTTATGACAAACAATTGTAAAATTAATCAGATTTAAATGATCATTACAAAATATTATCATATTTTCATAAGGGTGTTGAATTTGAGCACTAAATTTATGTCAGCCATTTTTAATCAAGGTGAAACATTCAAACATTTGGTATCTCTGAAAAGCCCTGAATGTGCTCTTTTCACTTACAACTGTGACATGCAAGGTCTCAGAGAAATCGCTAAAAAATAATGCTCTCTAGAGAGGACAAAACTCATAGCTGGTTGTCAGGACTCAGGAGGATATGAAATAGGCTACTGTCACACAAACCCAAAGGAAACACTGAAATTGTATCATCTCATCACTAAATCCGTTTATACCCATTTCACCCTTATGGGGAATTTCTCTCTCTGCCTCTAGACAGCGATAGATGTTCCCTTCAAAAACAGCAAGAAAAAAAAGAGAAAGAGCGAAATATGAGTGCCGTGACGTGGCAGAGTCCGCGTGGAGATCAGATTCAGATTCAGATCAGCTCCAGCCTCGTCTCCGGCAGCATGTGGACCCTGATCTTCACTGCCCTGCTGCCCTCCCTCATCTTATCATGTGAGGTGGACACGAAAAAGCTCACTGGTCTTGCGAGGGCCAGAGTGGAGGTGAGTGAATCCTGCGTTCAGAATCAGACTCAGACTCTGAATCTGAGATGTTCGGCTTGTAAACGTGAGAATTTCCCTGAAAACACTTGACCTGCTGCTTGTGTAATTCGTTTGTTTGAGCTGCGGCGCTTGTATGCGGTGTGGTTGATGCATGTGTGCTGAATCCCTGGAGCACGGGAGACATTCAGGAAATCTGTGCTGCCTCACTGGTGATAATGCCTCAGAATGGTTTTTAGTTCAGGTTATTAAGTAACGTTTATAAACGTAAGTGTTTGTGTCTGGGGTAATGCACAGGAGTTTAGTGAATGGTACTGGGGTACCAAAATGAATCCAGTGTTTTGCTGCAGAGTTGGTTAGTTCAAATTGAATGTCAAAATATTAGTCTGTAAAAAATTCAAGTCAGTTTGGTCTAGCCTGAGGAAAATCTTTAACAAAAAACAACAGAATCCCCAAAAATAGTACATATACTTAGAAAAACAATTAAACATTATATAACGGGTCTTCGATTCCAGTTTGTTTGCGTGCTGATTTAAACTCCAACAGCATTGAGACTTTCCCTGATTTCATTTTGTGTTCAAGACAGATTTTTAGTCTGTGTATTTGTGGAAGGGATTTACCAGTGACTCTTTCTGCAAATTACATCCTACACCAGTAGGTAGCGACAAGTCATTGTCTTGGAGTGATTGAATCATTTTCTCAATTATTCGTTCAAAACCTCTAAATCATTCAGGAATTGAACACTGCTCAGAGATACACAATGTTAATTCTGCTTTGACCTTTCAGCAAAGGGGACAGTTCACCCAAAAATTAAGATCCCCATGATTTACTCACCATCAAAGCATGCTAGGTGTATATGACTTTCTTCTTTCAGATGAATCCAATCGGAGTTATTTACAAATGTCCTGGCTCTTCCAAGCTTTAGAATGGCAGTGGATGGGTGTTATTTTTCAATAGTCCAAAAGAAGTCCAATAAAGCGCATCCATGCATCATAAAAAGTGCCTCACACGGCTCCGGGGGTGAATAAAGGCCTCCTGTATGAATCAATGCGTTTAAGCAGTAATCTATAGCTTCTGCTAACTGTCGTGACTGGCGGATGATGTAGGGCATAGGTGTAGCGTAAGGTCAAGTGAGAATATGCTAATCTCGCGAGAACCAAGTTTTGTTTACAGGAGCAAAGGAAGCAAAGTTTCCTTTGTTTACAGCAAAGGAAAACCAGTCTCCTCTTGGTTTATATCAAAATCCTCCGACATTTTTCTTTACAAATCCTTGTTTTGTTTTGCTCTCTCCTCTGCGCTTCCGCGTTAGACGCTTCTTACCGGAGCTTAAGCATTCTATTGTGAACACGCGTACGACAGTCAGCGGAACCTAGAGATTGCTGTTTATAAAGTTATAAAGATGGATATTTTTCTTACAAAAACGCATTGATTCGTACAGGAGGCCTTAAATCACCCCCCGGAGCTGTGTGGGACACTTTTTATGATGGATGGATGCACTTTATTGGACTTCTTTTGGACTATTGAAAAATAACACCCATTCACCGCCATTATAAAGCTTGTAAGAGCCAGGACATTTTTTAATTTAACTCCGATTGTATTCGTCTGAAAGAAGAAAGTCAAATACATCTAGGATGGCTTGAGGGTGAGTAAATCATGGGGTCATTTTTATTTTTGGGTGAACTATCCCTTTAACTCTTGTTTTTGAAAGTGTTGGACAACAGCAATATCACGCATAATTGTGCTGTTGGCCTGAAAAGTTATTTTCTTCGTAAGCCAAAACGTCAAGATTTTCATGTCACCAAGACCAAAAGCTGGTCTGGAGCAATGTATGTGAGAGTGAAAACGCGCCAAAATCATGAACTCAGATGGGGAGAAGTCCCAGTGACGTTGTAGTAACTATCAACACTCCTGGAACTCTGGCAGACAATCAGATTAGAGAACCTAAATAACGGCTGTATAACAATTTATACAACATTTAGTTACTATAAGTGTATTTTAATTGTTTCTAATCTTCTCTCTCAACATTCACCAGACGTGTGGTGGATGACAGCTGAATAGGCTGAGGGAGGTACGCTTACATTCACTTCATAAGAACATCATTAATATGTTCTGTAGACAAACAGCTATAATGAAAAGTATAACTGAAAACTTCACATCAACTCATCTGTTTTACTGAATGTTTTTCTTCTTTCTCCTCTCAATTCGTAACAGGTCAAGGCCTTTGTGACCCAGGACATTCCTCTTTAGTATCCTTTAAAATCACCAGACGATCTGTCAGTCAGTTATGGAAAACAAGATCGTTGATAAAAAATGAAAATAAAACACTTTACAAATCGACCGTTTTAAAATTGATTTAATCCATTTATTTAAAATGTCATTAAATATATCAATAGAAATGTTATTTTGCAATTTGACAAAGCAATTAGCAATTTAAAAGTTGCTTTTAAAATTATTTTATGTGTATTATGATACATGTGTCTACATATTAAAACATGAAATAGTTTTGAATATCTAATATTTGTAGTTTTATAAATTCATTTTTCATCATATTCTGAGCTGTCACTATAGAGCACTAGAAATGTCAAGACATTTACTGTATCACAAAGAATAAAGGTGCCACCCTAATGAATAAACATCAAAAATTATTCATTTTTATTTCAATTTATTTATAATGCTGGTCTTTTCTGAAAGGCTATGTCTGAAAGTATAAAATCCTGTTGCAATATTGTTCAATGGTAATATTAATATAGTAATGCACTTCAGTTGTTTAAGAACAGATTTTAAAACACTAGGCATCACACACTTGCATCCCACACAACTTTGTAAACAGCTACAGAAAAAATAGCCATCATTGAAATATAACACACACACGCACGCGCATACACACACACACACACACACACACACACACACACACAAAAACCCATCTTAACCCATTCTGCAGCTGTGTTAGTAGATCACATGCACCTGATTATCATCAGCTCTGCTCGTTTGCGCTGCTGCTGGTAGATTGTGTTGGGCATTATGGAAATGATCTGGCTGTGTTTGTGTTCTATAATTTGCATGTTGTCAGTAGATCTGGTGCAGAACATTTATGGGATTGCACTTTCACACTAATTTGTCCTGTTTAGTAAATCTGGCCCTTGTTATGAGCAGTAGTTAGTTTTTCTCACATTAGCAAGCACCGTGAAATTTTGACTTGAAAATAAAGGCTCTTCATTGGTATTGATGGTTCCATGAAGAACCTTAAACATCCATGGAACTTTTTCATTCCACAAAAGGTTCTTTATTGTGGAAAAGGTTTCATTAGATCATTCAAATGTTCTTCACACCGAGAAAAAAAGTGGTTATTTTAAGAACTGCTCACTGAAAGGTTCTTTGGGGAACCAAAAAATGGTGGTTCTCTATCTATGGAGTCACTGCAAGATTCCCTTTTAGAACCTTTATCTTTAGGAGTGTAGTTTTGCTACATAGTTTTGTGTCTCCTGTAGTTTATTAAAGCTACACAGTGTAACTTATTTTTATTTTTAAAAAATAATAATAATTGAGAGAATGCAAAAAAAAAAAAAAATCTTCCAAACCATATCTTTACCCAAACACACTTTCATAAACCTAGTCATGCCGTATTTCATTTTTGACAGGAATGAAAAGGCTGTGAGGAATAGACGTAGGCCTACATTCAATGGATTGTACGGTTTAAATAACAGAGGCCCACCGATTGTTAAGCTTTCTGGAGAAAAAAAAAAAAGTAGACAACTCCATAAATAGATTTGTGAAAATTACAGGCTCGTTTTCATCCGCGTTACATTTAATATGGCATCTAACCTTAAGGTTTATAACAATGATTTCTATTTTAGAACTGTCGGGATGGATTTCGCAGGAAATTGTACGAGTGAGATAAACTGACCATGGATCATTCAAAACGACAAACCTCTGGGTAATCACCAGTTATTAAAACAAAACGAACCCGTTATTTATTTAATATGTCCTGAGGTGTCCTGTATCACCGGTGCCTCGAACCAAATTCATCCGTGAAGAGTCCAAGCACAACCAAAACCACTAGATGCGTGCAGTTTTATTTCTGACCACTAGATGGGACAAAAGTTACACAGTGTAGCTTTAGTACACTGTAAAAAATTGCAGTGAATTTAACGGTTTTACCGTGATGGTGTTTAGTGTTTGTGTGAACGACACGGTGCACCTTCTATATATGTTATTATCTAAAAGCTGCTTGAGATGGGCTTTGGTTCGTCATGTGGCTTTCTCATCACCTCCTGCATTTGGTGGTTATCAGTGTATTACAAAGCTACAAAACAGATTTCAGTACTTCAATAGGTTGGTATATTAACATTATATCAGTTAATGAAATTACGGTATTTAACTGTAAATTTAAGTTAAAACCGTAAAACTTAAAACGTTGCTACCGTATTTTTTACGGTAAAATTCCGGCAACCACAGCTGCCGTTTTTTTTACCGTAAATTTTACGGATTTATTTTTACAGTGTAGGTTCCTCCTCATAAATTACTTCTTTTTTTTTTTTCCCCTAAGTACTCATGTAATGTAACTGTCTTTACATCGTATGCATTTCTCTTCTCTGACACTTATAAATGAAGCTGTGTGTTTCTCTTCCAGAGAATCCCATTATCTGAATTGACTCGTGCTGAGATCAACAAACTCTTGACATTGCATAAGTATTCATACCCTTAACTAAATATTTTGCTGAAGCACCTTTACAGTCTCAAGTCTTTCTTTGTTTGATGCGACAAGCTTTGATCATCATCATTTGGAAATGATTTGCCATTCTTCTCCTCATCTCTTTACCTCTCAAGCTCTGTCAGGTTGGATGGGAGCAAATGCACATTTTCAGGTTTCTCCAGAATTATTTGATTGGGTTCAAGCTCATGCTCTGGCTGGGCCACTCAAGGACATTCAGAGTTGTCTAGAAGCCACTCTTGCTGTGTGCTTAGGGTCATTGTCCTGTTGGAAGGTGAACCTTCTGCACAGTCTGAGGTTCTGAATGCTCTGGGCTGGGTTTTCGTTAAGGCTATCTCAATATTTTGGTGCATTGAGCTTATCTTCTATTCTGATGAGTCCCTCGGTCCCTGCCGCTGAAAAACACCCCCACTGCATGAGGCTGCTACCAGCACACTTTACTTTTGGGATGGTACTCTGCAGGTGATGAGCAGTCCCTGGTTTCCTCCAAACATGATGCTTGGAATTGAGGTTCATCAGACCAGAGACTCTTGTTTCTCAGAGTCTGAGGGTCCTTTAAGTGTTTTTATGCAAAATCCAAGTGTGCTTTCATGTGTCTTCACTGAGGAGAAGATTGAGTCTGGCCACTCCGACGTAAAGCCCAGATCGGTGGAGTGTTGCAGTGATATTTGTCCTTCTCTAGATTTCTCCCATCTGCATATATGATCATGGAGCTCAACTAGAGTGACCATCATGGTCTTGGTCACCACTCTAACCAAGAGCCTTTTCCATCAATTTCTCAGTTTGGCCAGGATGCCAGCTCTAGGAAGAGTCCTGGTTGTTTAAAACTTGTTCCATTAAGGGTAACAGAGACTACATACTTCTGTGACCCTTCAATGAAGCAGATTTTTTTCTGAACTCTTCCACAGATATGTGGCTTGATGCAAACCTGTTTCTGAGCTCTACAGGCAGTTCTTTTGACCTCAGGGCATGGGTTTTGCTCTGATATGCATTTTCAGCTGTTAGACCTTTTATTAAGATGTGTGTGCCTTTCCAAATCATACCCATTCAACTGAATTTGCCGCAGGTTAACTTCACTTGAAGTGTAGTGACATCTACAAGCAATTTGAATGCTCCTGAGCTAAATTTCAACTGTCCCAGATAAGGGTATGAATACTTATGCAATGGAATCGTTTTAAGATTTGTATTTATAATAAATTTGTAAAGATGTTAAAAACCTGTTTTTTGCTTTACCATTATGGTGTATGGAGTGTAGATTGATGTGGGGAAAAAAGTAATTTAAAGCAGTTTAGCATAAGGCAGCAATTTAACACAATGTGAAAGAAATGAAGGGGTATGAATATTTTCACAAGGTACTGTATATATATATATATATGTATATATATGTGTGTGACCCTGGACCACAAAACCAGTCATAAGGGTCCATTTTTTTTAAATTTGAGATTTATACACCATCTGAATAAATAATATTTTCATTGACGTATGGTTTGTTAGGATCTGACAATATTTGGCCGAGATACAACTATTTGAAAATCTGGAATCTGACGGTGCAAAAGTATCTTAATATTGAGAAAATCATCTTTAAAGTTGTCCAAATGAAGTTCTTAGCGATGCATATTACTAATCAAAAATTAAGTTTTGATATATTTACAAAATATCTTCATGGAACATGATCTTTACTTAATATCCTCATGATTTTGGGCATAAAAGAAAAAATCTGTGCTACTTATGACTGCTTTTGTGCTGCAGGGTCACATATAGTTATACCTAATATAAAGCACAAAGATGAATTACCCTTTTTTGAAAAAAACTACTACTTGTTCAAACAAATTAGCGTCCATTGTAAACAATTTTAACTGTTGAAAAGTAACAGAGTCTGAATTGTTTAAAATTTTCAGAAAATGCAATAAATGACAAACGCATTTTTGGTATCGCGTATGGTTTTAATGATTACTACACAAAACCATGGTGTAGGGCAATACTGAGTGAACAATAGTTTTTGAACGAGTGTGTACAAACAATGTCAATGTTCACCTTTCAGTGTGAATGAATGCTAATTAGCTCTACTCATGCAACTTTCAAGTACCAAACAAAGGCCCTGGCGTGGCTGCGGCAGTAGCTGTGTTTCGTCTTCAAAATAAAATGATGTGCAGTCATTAAAACAATTAAACAAACATGATGCTTGGAATTGAGGTTCATCAGACCAGAGACTCTTGTTTCTCAGAGTCTGAGGGTCCTTTAAGTGTTTTTATGCAAAATCCAAGTGTGCTTTCATGTGTCTTCACTGAGGAGAAGATTGAGTCTGGCCACTCCGACGTAAAGCCCAGATCGGTGGAGTGTTGCAGTGATATTTGTCCTTCTCTAGATTTCTCCCATCTGCATATATGATCATGGAGCTCAACTAGAGTGACCATCATGGTCTTGGTCACCACTCTAACCAAGACCCTTTTCCATCAATTTCTCAGTTTGGCCAGGAGGCCAGCTCTAGGAAGAGTCCTGGTTGTTTAAAACTTGTTCCATTAAGGGTAACAGAGACTACATACTTCTGTGACCCTTCAATGAAGCAGATTTTTTTCTGAACTCTTCCACAGATATGTGGCTTGATGCAAACCTGTTTCTGAGCTCTACAGGCAGTTCTTTTGACCTCAGGGCATGGGTTTTGCTCTGATATGCATTTTCAGCTGTTAGACCTTTTATTAAGATGTGTGTGCCTTTCCAAATCATACCCATTCAACTGAATTTGCCGCAGGTTAACTTCACTTGAAGTGTAGTGACATCTACAAGCAATTTGAATGCTCCTGAGCTAAATTTCAACTGTCCCAGATAAGGGTATGAATACTTATGCAATGGAATCGTTTTAAGATTTGTATTTATAATAAATTTGTAAAGATGTTAAAAACCTGTTTTTTGCTTTACCATTATGGTGTATGGAGTGTAGATTGATGTGGGGAAAAAAGTAATTTAAAGCAGTTTAGCATAAGGCAGCAATTTAACACAATGTGAAAGAAATGAAGGGGTATGAATATTTTCACAAGGTACTGTATATATATATATATATGTATATATATGTGTGTGACCCTGGACCACAAAACCAGTCATAAGGGTCCATTTTTTTTAAATTTGAGATTTATACACCATCTGAATAAATAATATTTTCATTGACGTATGGTTTGTTAGGATCGGACAATATTTGGCCGAGATACAACTATTTGAAAATCTGGAATCTGACGGTGCAAAAGTATCTTAATATTGAGAAAATCATCTTTAAAGTTGTCCAAATGAAGTTCTTAGCGATGCATATTACTAATCAAAAATTAAGTTTTGATATATTTACAAAATATCTTCATGGAACATGATCTTTACTTAATATCCTCATGATTTTGGGCATAAAAGAAAAAATCTGTGCTACTTATGACTGCTTTTGTGCTGCAGGGTCACATATAGTTATACCTAATATAAAGCACAAAGATGAATTACCCTTTTTTGAAAAAAACTACTACTTGTTCAAACAAATTAGCGTCCATTGTAAACAATTTTAACTGTTGAAAAGTAACAGAGTCTGAATTGTTTAAAATTTTCAGAAAATGCAATAAATGACAAACGCATTTTTGGTATCGCGTATGGTTTTAATGATTACTACACAAAACCATGGTGTAGGGCAATACTGAGTGAACAATAGTTTTTGAACGAGTGTGTACAAACAATGTCAATGTTCACCTTTCAGTGTGAATGAATGCTAATTAGCTCTACTCATGCAACTTTCAAGTACCAAACAAAGGCCCTGGCGTGGCTGCGGCAGTAGCTGTGTTTCGTCTTCAAAATAAAATGATGTGCAGTCATTAAAACAATTAAAACTACAACCTTAATCTTTAGAACCAAATATATAAACATCATTGACCTTCTCAGATTAATTTACTGCTAAAACATTATTATTACTCTTCTCAAATGGACTCGACTAGGGTTACTCATATATACACGGTTTCAATTACTGCTGTAAAGATGTACAAAAACAGATCCTTTAGGCTAATGTTTTGGGACAAACTTCCATTGCTTCCAAATGAAGTTCAGGAATATCAACAAATCCAAAATAAGCTCATCCATAAATAAGGACAGATCATAAGTGCATCTATTCATGCATGTTTGTGTATTTTATATCACTTCAAAGACGCCTGAATGCTCTGTGTTCAGTGTAAAACCAAACTTTCAATTAGAAAAACATTTCAAAACAGTTCACGAGCTGCATCTTGCACTAAACAAGCAGTGAGATTAATATTCCTTGCAATGTTTTTAAATAAACACAATATCGCATACAGACGAAAATATAACCTTCATTTGTTTTTGAAACAGAAGTAAAACTTCAAGTAGACTTGTGAAAGCATGCGGGTCTGAGCTCTATTAACAGCAACAGTACCGTGAAACAGGTTTAAAAGCTTTTAAAAACCATATAGATATGGGCAATCAACATCAAATAATGCTTCGTTTTTAGCACATGGAATCAAGTGATAGGCATCTTGGAAGTTATAACTTGGAATTTTCATTATTTTACCATCAACAAACCATTTCTGTAATTTTTTTTTTTTGGAACAAACTACTGTAAAAAAAAAATCCTTATTGAGTTTTTACAGCTGTTACAGAAGGAGCTGTTTGGATCTGTCTGGACAGTAAACACAATCTTAACTGTGGAAATGTAACAGGATCAGAATGAAAACCGCAGGTAAAGCGAGCATCAGAAGTCAGAGGTCCGCTGCGCACGTGCCATCATCATCTCATGCTTGCGCAGATGGTTCACCAGTGACTGCACGTATGTGAACACACACTTGGGATCTGGTTTCTTACCCATGATCATCATGTCCTCCACCTCCAGCAGGGGCATGCAGTTAGCATGGGCCCTAATGAAAAGACAACCACAGACGAATGATAAAACAAATGATGCTGTATATGCTGTCTACACTACTCTGTGCAGTTCATATGCCTGACCAACAGGGGGAAGCACTGTCATCTGATACAGAGAATTTACTCACTACATACTGGAGAATAAAGCAACTCCTTTATATATATATGTATGTATTAGTGCTGTCAAACGATTAATCGTGATTAATCGCATCCAAAATAAAAGTTTTTGTTTACATAATATATGCGTGTGTACTGTGTATATTTATTATGTATATATAAATACACACACGCATGTATATATTTTAAAAATATTTACATGTATATATATATATATATATATAATTTCTATTATATATAAATATTTTATATATAAACAAAGAACTTTCTCAAATAAATACATGCA